AGTCTGCCTGCCAGTGAAATTGAGCAACTCTCTGCGGGGTCACACGCAAAGTTGGTGTAGTTGACATGGATTGCTATTTCGGCCAATGGTTACAGTGGCTGATCATATACTTCACAGCTCAGGACTCGGACGTACGGTCTTGCTAACGCGTTGAGTATCCGCTACAACATCCGTGCGTTCTCTATGATTTCATGGCACCGAGTGCCACATATTGACTCCTCTTGTTCCGCACAGAGGAGGATCATGTTGGTAATGCTATAATTTTAATAACTTGCAGGTATTGATGATCCCCCATCCTGCACCCCTGATAGTGTTGATCTACAGTCCAAATCATGTTGGTATGCGAATAGCTTTGATGCATGTGGTGTATGTTTGGGTTGACAGAATGAATTCTGCAGATTATCTTGTGGCTGCTTGGGCGGCTCATAGACTTGGTGCTGCCGTGTCGTATGCCCACTTTCTCTAAGTTGCCTAAAACATTTTGAAATGCGCCCCCAAGCGGTGCCAACCCGCTATTCACAGTTGACGAGCTCGTGTATCAAATAAATACAGTGAAAGCAGCCGTCATCATCACGCACCCAGACTCCCTCAATGTGGCCTTGGCATCTGCATATGCTACTGGTGTATCTGCGGATCGTGTGATTCTTTTTGACGTCGAGGGTGCTGATACTACGCAGAGAGCGACTGTGCAAGTTTTGGTTTCGCAAGGTCTTGCAAGTGCTCCGAACTTCACGGAACGGAAACTTGCTCCTGCTGAAGGGAAGACCAAGGTGGCCTTCCTGAATTTCTCCAGCGGGACGACTGGTCGCCCCAAGGTGAGCGCATATTTCGCGAGGACAATTGGATGTAACTTTTACATGCTGTATATCAGGCTGTTGCAATACCTCACTACGCGCCGATTGCAAATGTCATTCAGCTTGCCACGCACCACAAGGTCGGTGAGGATTATGCTGGACAAAGATTCAAACCTGGTGACGTATGTTGTGCTGGTGCGTGCGTTGTCGTTTATCCAAAGGGTTCGGTTCGATTACCTGCGCAGTGCTTCCTTTATATCGTGAGCTATTACCACACTTGCAACATCATGATGTTGTTGTGAGACTGATCGTTGCCAGATATTTATGGACTGGTCTTCAATGTACGACCTCGTTTGACTTCAGTTATCTCATTGCTGAATATCTTGTAGGCCCATTATGCCTTTTTCTGCGGAGTACGTCGACACACTCCGAATCTGCAGATGTACACTGACTGAAGTGCATACAGATGACGGTTGTTTTAACAGCGAAATACAACTTTCTACAGTTTTTGAAGAGCATAATCAGGCACCGTATTACCCATCTTATGTAGGTCGTCCGACTTTATTTGACCCCATCTGAACAAGACTTTAGGTTAGTTCCCCCACACATCGTACAACTGTGCAAGGTCAGCGAGTCGTCCTGGAATGATCGCGTCCCTTACCTATCTACGTCTACCACTTAGCATCCAGCCGCCAAGAGTTACGATTTCAGTCACGTTCGATACGTCACCTCGGGTGCTGCGCCATTGTCTCGTGAGGTGATGGAGCAGCTTGTTGAGGTATTTCCAAATGCCGACCTAGGGCAGAGCTACGGTAAGTCCATCTTCAGAGGGTGCGCGTCCACATCTCATCCCAGCGGCCAATAGGCCTTACCGAATCATGTACTGTTATAAGTACTTGGGCGGTGAATAAGAGATGTGACTTGAGTGGTGGTGCTGGCCAACTCCTCCCTGGTATTATCGGCCGCGTGGAGAAACCAGATGGTACTCTTGCGGACTTTGACGAACCTGGCGAACTTGTTGTAAAGACGCAGGCGCTTGCGCTTGGTTATGCAAACAACCTTGAAGCGTATGAGGTCATCTTTCTTGTATCATTCATATATTTATCGCAACGTGATCAGAACGAAGGAAACTTTCGTAAATGGGTGAGTAGGCAGGCGTTCAATCGGCTGGTGACTGATGTTCCGCTTTCAGATGGCTCCGTACAGGTGATGAGGTGAAGATGAACCGCGAGGGAGAAATTGTAGTCCTCGACCGTTTAAAGGTTGGATGATTGGCCTTAGGCCTTGGTCTCACCTGATTGAGCAGCCCTACAGGAAATGTTGAAAGTCCGTGGATTCCAGGTTGCACCTGCTGAGCTTGAAGGATGTATTCTGGACCACCCCGACGTAACTGATACGTGCGTGGTTGGAATACAAGATGAATATAGTGGAGAATTACCACTGGCGTTCGTCGTTCTCCACCCTGACGCCACCAAACGTGTCGAAGAAAGCCCTCAGGCCGCGAACGAGATCAAAGCGTCGATTATGAAGGTTGGTGCTTCAAAACTCCAGTGAACGCGTTGTACTCATACTTCAACTTTACAGCACGTTGTTGATAACAAAGTTGGCTACAAAAAGCTCGCTGGGGGTGTTGAGTTTATTGATGTTGTCCCGAAAAACCCGAGTGGTAAACTGTTGAGGAGGGTGTTAAGAGACAAGGCTCGGGAGATGCGAACGAAGCCCAAAGCGAAGCTGTGACATGGTGATCCTCTTTACGAGTCCAGCATATGTACACCTTGTTTATTACTAATTGATGAATTGTTTCAAATTCCAATAAAACTGATCCATCGCGCCAGAATCAGAGACTCATCCCAGGGTTCTACCATCAATCGTGTTGGACAAATAGGCATGCTACTGTGACTAAAGAAACATACGAACTGCCTGGGCCCGGCTCGCGGCCCGTGGGACTCAGATAGAATCTACACGGTATTCTTCAGACTCCAAACCATCGGCAGGTGTGAGAGAGTCTTCATACTGTTACCTTAGCCGAAAACCAAATATGTACAACATAATTTCAAACACCGCAACTTTGAGACTCTACACACCAAGCCGACTGGCAAAACTTGTAGTGGCGCGAGGTTTGGATGTATTTGTCCCACCGAAAAAGCCTTCCGAGCGCGCTGACATATCCCAAAAGAAATGGGAGCAATCGAATATTAACTGATGTCACATTGTTTATAAAAAGACAAATGGTATTGTTTAATTATGTGACGGAAATAATAATAATTAAATATTAACAGTGCAGAGAACAATGGCAGAAAATGCATAAAACAAAAGACAGAGTCCTAGCTTTCATGCTGTTGCGCTCGTGATGGATACAAGTCTCGCAGACCGACTGGACAACGTGCTTGCATGTATGGAAGAAAATTTTCTCACTCCAGCAGACTTCATCAACCACATTCTCGGAAGCACAGAACACGAGAGCGCAAGAAACTCGCTAACAACGAAGGCAGTTAGAATATGTGCTGCCCTGTACAGAGAAGAACATGCGCACTCACATGTAACACAGTGGGCAATAACAATCGTGCGGGACATGCTGCGCACTGAGGTGACAGATTTGTCACTCGAAAAGCACGGACTTCGTTTCAAAGCCACGTCTGCAACTGTCGAACAACTGGAGAGTGCATTCATGCATCAGCTCGCAGAAAAAATGCAGGAGGTGGCACCTAACCTGTGGCATCTATTCTTCGCGCTGCTCGACAGCACACTTCAGCAGCGGCGAGCTATGGGTGGGAATGTGAAGGTGGGCAATGAGGACATGGATATTTATGTTGAAGAGAGGGACCTTGGAGAATTTGGAGGTGACGACATTGGAGGAATGATGCGCAAAGAAGACGACGTGAATGAAGAAGCTGATGACGAGCAATCAGGAAAACGCCAACGTCGTGCAGCTGAAAGAAACGCTGCGCTGTTAGTCATTGTGAGTTGATATTTGCAAATCAAACGCTGCATCGCTGACGAAAACTGCAGAGAACTGTTGTAATGATTAGCATATGCCTTCAGACGTCAAATTCACAGTGCAACCTACTACAAGGATGGCTGGGGTTCTTCATGAGGTCAGCGTGTGTCCCCGAGAAAGTTGTTGAAGTGTTCGCCCATGCGGGTTTGTCAATTAGCTTGACGTCGATACACAATGCTGTCTCGTCAATATCTAGAGAGATTAGCAGCAAAATCAAGCGCGAGGTTAGGACATTACAAGCTGGATTCGCATACGACAATTTTGACATACAATTCAAAGCTGCCCAGCCTACGCTGGAACATCGAGGGTCCTTCGTGAGCGCGACGTCAGCAACCGTCATTCCTCTATATGGCATCAACGACGATAACGTCGATGCTCTACGATCCTCGGCGCAGCTCTGGGATCGGGATTCACACAATCCATCGCCATCAGTACTACCTGTGATGACGGAGTGGAGAAGCTTCCTTCAATTGCACAAAAACGATGCTTACAGTCGTCAAACGCATCCCGTTAGACTGAGCCCTCACCAGGAAGCATTTTCTTGGCACGTTCATGCCATTCTGGTCAACCAGGTCAAAGAATTCAAGCATTTCAAAAAAGAGCTAGATGAGCCTGATACAGTCAAAAGAATCCCTGTGCACAAAACAAATCAAATACCTTGTCGGGCAATGGATATCAAGCAGTCCACGACAGACGGGAATGTTGAAGTTCTCGACAACCTGTTTAGACAAGGAGGTATTGGCGATCCTCGCGATAGCGGGTTTGATGTGGAGCATGACGTGGACATGTCGGAGCACATCATGCTGATCCATGGTGACCTTTTGACGAAGGAGCGACTGGATACTGTCCGTAACAGCCAGTGCATTGAGCATACACCAAAGAACCGCTTCCAATACGTGATTTTCTTACCTGGGTTGTTCCACTATAAGATGGCTTGCGCAGATGCCATCTGGAGAACGTATATTCAGCCAAAGGAGGGCCGTGATGATGAGAACAGCCTGTACCAACACACTGCAGTCCTTCGGCCAGAGGAAACTGGTAAAATGGTCAGTAAACCTGGCTTTCGGCGAGTGCACGATGTCATTCACCATGACATCTGGGCATCGATGATGGACTGTTGGCGGATCGAAGCAGAGAACGAGAATCGGGAATGGAACACGCTGGAGACTTTCGCGGCCTCTGAGCCAACATGGGATGACGTGGTGGCAATGTCACATACCATTGTGCGGAAGTACGTTGCAACAACGCCAGGCCTTGACGAAGCACGAGCACGACCATCGACTATCCGCGACAAGCGATTCGAAAATCAAACGCTGCGAAACAGGGACGAGCTGATGTACATTGACGTGTGTCAAGCTATGAATACTGGTGACATAGGGAGAGTGGAAGCGTCGTTCTTACCGTGGATCTACATATTCAAAGCCACAGGAAAGCACAAGTATGCTTCCCAGATGACGAGGTTTCTCGTAAACCTTCAGTTTAACTGGCCTGAAAAACTGAGGTGAGTAGGAGTTGCTCGTATTGACTGCGCATCATCTGAAAATATGTCAGTGATATCATTCGAATGAACTTACTTTGCAACCCCTCCGGGCATGCGCTAGCGTTTTGCGCTGTAGATTGGGTTGTCGAGAGGAACAATCTGTACACCAAGGTTAGTTCCTAGCTGCTTAGGGTTGGAATGTTAATATGGCATCAGGTCATATACAGAGGCGGAGGTCCGAATGGTACATTAGAACATATTATTAAAGAATCCCCTCTGATCGAGGTCTACCGTAACTGTCACGTCGTCATCAAAAACGGATTCCACCTTCAGCATCAAACAATTCGTCATGCACAACCTGAAATGATGAATACAATCCGTAAGTTGTCAACGAAAATAAAGGAGAACTACGCACATATAAAGAAGGAGGGTCGGAAGGCCCTGTGGTCGATTCCCGATCAGATCAACGAAGGGATGGTGCTGATGCAAGAGCAGAAGATAGTTAGCAAGGAAGAGACGGGCGTTTTCGATGTCGACGGAGATGACTTTATTGACTAACCTTAACCGACTCGATTGTTCTGCGGACCAACAAACTGTTGTTGTCCTTGCACTGGATGGAAACCTTGCTCAGAAGCGCCTGGAGCAGGTGCCACCATGGCCGGTGCATTTTCTATATTAGATCTTGACTTGCGGGGCTTGGAAATATATCTTGGACAAAGTTTGTTGGACGCTGCGAAGAACAATGAGTACGATAAGACAGTGGACATAGTGAGCAGTGCGTACCTATATGATCAGTGCTACCACAAGCACGACACTTTCGTGAACGTTTCGATGGCAACATGACGCCATTTGTGGCGGAGGTGCTGGCGGTCGGTTGTTGGTTTGTTGACGACGATAAGCCAAGTGGAGGTGGAATGATCACAGCAGGTGGTGCGGGAGGTTGGACAATGGGCAAAGGGATGCAAGTAAGAATGATATCGAGGACGCTTTGCCCATATTCAGAGGAGTAGCACCATGATGTCTGCTCGAAGAGAGAAGTTGTTGATAAGATTTTGTGATAGTGCGCGAGGTCGACAATACGGTTCAGGATCTTGTTCGACATGATCATCTGGGGACCAAAAAAGTCATCAGCATCGAGATTCTCCTCGATTATCTTCGAGTCCCTCCATTTGATGAGCTCCTGCTGAAGCCGGCGTTCGGTGTCGGTCATTTTGTATGGCTTGATCTTGTACTTTGGTTTGGCGCGTGTTGACGTGATTTGTTGCAGAGGGAAGAGCCGTGAATGTAATTCCATCTTGTTACACACGTCACAGCAAATGTGTGACACCCTTGCAGCGCATCTCTCACAGCATGTATTCCCTTGTTCTCGATAACCTCAATGTCAGCTAAATCAACTCTATCCAGCCTCAAAATTCTTACCTATTAGGTTTGGATTATTGAAATATTCATTTGTAACTCGGCGACGGCAGAATCCTCGAAGGTGAGCATTGATAAATGCATACATAGCAGCTCGTTCGATAACATCACTATCAGCGTTTACCGGAAGGATCCTCATAGGAGTAGAAGTGCCAGCAACCTCTGGAATGGTGTGTCTGTTGCGCTGATCTACCACCATGCTGACGCTGTCCGTTCGCCCGTCATTGTCCCCCCCATTGAGGGTACCACCATCAGTCCTACATTGACTGTTCTCCTCGTCGCGCACCACTGTGCTCTCAGCGTCCACGTTCGTGACCTTCTTCTTCTTCGTGTGATGCTGTCCCTCATCAAGTTCAGGCCGTTTGCGCTTGCCACTGTATGTATCAAAGTACAGCGGCTCCACGAAGTACACTGCAAGTGCCGTTAAGGCGTGGTCTCGCGCAGCGCGTCCTAGGCGTTGCATCAAAATGCAAAGTGAGTCTATATATCCCCATTGAATGACCAATCTGACGTCTCGAAGATCAAGGCCCTGCAATAACAGCAATAACAACATCAATATATACGTGAGGGACTCTTGATATGACTGTGAGTTACTCACCATTCCCGCTGCATCAGTACAGCAGATCCCCCAAATCTCACCCTTTGACAGCTTTTCCATTGCGTCCAGCCGGAACTGCATTGACATGCCCGAATGGAACCATACGATGTTATGGCGAAGATGCGCAGGCAAGTCTTTGCATAAGCTATTGCAAACTGCTTCTGCTTGATCTCGAGCATTTACGAACAGCATGAACTTCTCGGGCGGTGTGCCCTCCTTGAGTGGCAAGATTCGGCCAAGGTCGTAGTACGTGTTTCGTGGGTACTTCATCTCCTGGACCATGAAATGAATATTTGCACGGTCGTTTGACCGGACAACTTTAGCAAGGTTGTATGACCGAATGCGAAGTTTCGATTGGACGTCTAGGAGGATGTGCGGCGGCATGGTCGCAGACACGGCGTGAAATCGAACGTGAGCTGGAAGGTACCATCGAAGATTCCCCAGCTCACTATACAGCGGTCGAAAGTCTTTGCCCCATTCGCTAATACAATGACCCTCGTCAAACACGATACTGAAGAGATTATCTGTAAACGTTCGACACTTCCAAAGTTTTTTGAATCGAGCGTCTTGAAGTACATGTTCCGGGCTAACAACAAGAACTCGATACTTCAATTTCTCTATGTCCTGATGAATATATGCTCAGACTCGTGTAGTATTCATGTCACTGAATAACGACTCACTTTAAACGCCTCGTCTGTTGCTGTCTCTGCACATATATCAAGGGCGGGAAACCCATAAGCATTTGCTTCATCTCGGTTCTTCTCGCTGAGGATATTAAGCGGGGTAATAATAATGGTTATTCCACCATTGTTGAATAACAGGGGAATCCAGAAGGTAAGAGTCTTTCCTGAGCCGGTGGGTGAGATGGTGAAGACATCTTTGTTCTCAAGCTGGTTGTGAGCGGACTGGAGTTGCCAAGTACAAGGAGTAAGACCCAGTTTCATTTCTGCAATGCGTTTCATTTCTGCAAAGCTCGGTACTTCGAACCGGCCAGCTGGCGATGACATCAAGATACGTGACTTAGAAGATGTTAAGTCTCAGAAAGGGATTATCCATCATGTCACTAAAGGCACGTCACGCTAAAGATTTTTGACAATAATATTCGATTGCTCCCATTTCTTTTGGGATATGTCAGCGCGCTCGGAAGGCTTTTTCGGTGGGACAAATACATCCAAACCTCGCGCCACTACAAGTTTTGCCAGTCGGCTTGGTGTGTAGAGTCTCAAAGTTGCGGTGTTTGAAATTATGTTGTACATATTTGGTTTTCGGCTAAGGTAACAGTATGAAGACTCTCTCACACCTGCCGATGGTTTGGAGTCTGGGTATTCTTCCGAAGAGCTCCCCAGAATCTGACGTGTACAGACTCCAACACCCCAGATCCTTGAGCTTGAAGTTGCGGGTGCGAAGCAAATCCGGACTCCGCCGAAGGAGAGTGCTTCTGATTTGCAAATTGAATCATGGTTCACAAAATTTCAGTTAGCTGTAGTTCGAGTAACGAATTTTTAGCCTCGTAATACGTGCATCTTTCTGTGGATAGCGAGGGTCGACAATTGTTCGTAGATTGAACACTCCGAACACGGTTCACAATCCAGGACTCGCGTTAAGTTGGTGCAGCCGCGGGGGCTGACCTTGAGCAGTATGTCTCTTCAGAATTATCCACCATTCTCAGTATTAACTACCCTCACTTTCCTTTTTCTGAAAAAGTCAACAAGTGGGATGACCAACTCCAACTGTTATATCGATCGCCTGCCGGACGACGCGCTCCGCATGGTTTTCGAGTCGGTCTGTGAAAAAGACCAAGCCGCCTTCCATGATTATTCTATGCAAAATGAAGTACAGAAAGGCAGGTATTGGGATGATTGGCACCAAAATCAGTGTTGGTACGATGAGTCGGAAAAAGAATCCAATGGCCCTCCACCATCGGCTCTCATTGCAGCAATGTGTGTGTGCAAACGTTGGCGTTGGCTCATGTCACAGATTCCAACACTGTGGACTGTGTTACAAATCTCCTTTGGCGACTGTGCTGCGTCTCTTGAAAAAGTGCGCACTTTCCTAAAACTTAGTGGAACACATCCTCTCAAAATCACGCTACTTTGGAATGACCCCCACAATCCCTTCAGCGGAGCCCCCAGGCGGGCCTCCCTTCTTAATCCGTATCTCCCCGAACCGGTCGACGAAGGCGTAGCTGGTGCTTACCTCGTCCTGATCATCCTGGAGTTACATGCTCATGTGCACCGTTGGCGCGAGTTTACGCTGAGGACAACCTCAAAAATGCACATCCGTCAAGCGCTTGTACTTATGTCGCGTTCCTCCGTTCATCCAGCCCATATGCTAGAAAAACAGCATGTTCAACTCGTACACGACCAATTGAATGTAGACCCCGACCATCATGAACCGTTGATTTTTCCTGGTTCAGCACCTCCCATCAATGATCTTATCCTTTTTGGCACAAGTTGGTCCTGGCTCTCACCCTCCATATTTTCACCACATCTCGTCAATTTGCGAATACACTACTGCACAAGTGGCGGTAACATAAATATAGCCACTACAGTAGATGTTTTGTTGCAACTCCTTGGTGCACTCGTCAATCTGCAGACCCTCGCACTCGAATTGGATATGGATCCACCTGAAGACATCATGTCTCCCATTGCACTACCCCGCTTGCACTACCTAGCTATGAAATCGAGGAAGATGGACTGTTGGATTGCAGATTTTCTCCACTATGTTCATATGCCCAATCTTCGGATATTGACCCTGGATGGCGCTCTGGGTCAGTTCGTGCTGGTCGAGATTCAATTCGAAGGTATCCTCCAAGGGTTGATCAGGCTTACCGACAAAAATTCTTCTAGCTCTCTTCTAGAGCTGGATGAACACCATCTCGTTAATTTCGCGCATCGTGCAGATCCTCAGCTCCTTCATCGCCTGTGTAAACAAATGACTAGTGTCAAGGTATTGACACTGGGGCCAGGAGGGTTCTATGGGAATAATGCGTTTGCAATGGGACTACTCCCCACGTCTCGCGAACTTGCGGATTTCCCTTTCCCGGGACTTCGGACCTTGATCGTTTTTGATATTCCAATAAGCTTCGTGCGGCGCATCGTTCTAGAACGACTTTCGCTCGTTGGTCCGTTGGAGGAGCTTTATTATCAAGAGCCTGACAGCCGACCGGTACCAGAGGAGGAGGAGGAGGAGGAGGAGGAGGAGGAGGAGGATATAATTGTCCCAGACGATTGGCAACATCAAGTCGAGAAGTACCATCATATTGATAATCTGGAATCTGATCGTTATTGTGATGTAGTTAGCAGGCGGTGGTCGTACTTAGCCTAGTACCTCGATCAGTCCCCTACTGTGTTGCGCGTGTCGCTCATGACTTGTGTCGGTATCCCCGTGCCTTCTTGTGCTGCCAAACTGATTTCATTAAACTATGTATGTCCATTCTCAATACTCATTCGATGTTAGCAAGCGGGAGACGACAATCAGATGGGATCCTCTCTGTGGCACTATCAACTCAGGCCGGTGTTCGTGGTATCTCCTGGCGTTCATATCCTTTGGCTGACGTGAGACTCGGAGGTTAAGCGGGATCATCGATCAGCGCTTCAGGAGTCGTTGCGGGCTTCGTAAACGCTGCGAATAGTAACGACTCAGATGCGCCACTGGACGTCTGGCGTGGCAATCTGGCTCTTGCAAACAGAAGCTGGTGTGGCCTCAATCTGATGATAAACGATACCTGCGATAACGCCCAAAGCCACTGCTGGACAGTGGAGGGTACCCCACTCCATCACCGCAGAACACGTCGTCATTTTCCCGTTCTATGTTTGGTTCTACCTTCGACTGAGCGAATCTTTAACTTCATGCAGGTGCACTGTTCGTACCAAGCCTTGTAAACGAATACAAATCGGTTCCCACATGTGGGCGCGAATCGGCAAGTTTGGGTATTATGATATCTGTTCAGATGGAGGTTGGTCCTTATACAAAAGGAGAGGCTGTCTCACTTCTAATAGGTTCTGCCTGCGGGAGACTACAGGTAGGTATGCGGTGGGTGGGAGTGCCTGTTGATGCGGAGTGCAAAATTGGCATGACCTTCAGATACTCGCGAGATGACAGGCCTGAGAGCAGGTGACCTTTGAAGTGAGCACGAGGACAACACATAGGCTGCGTACTACCCTACAAGACAAAACTTAAATGGACGTGTTTCTAACTTTCTTAATCCAAACGTCCACTATCTTACCTTACAGCCCGGCGCCCGCGCCTCTCGCTGATGATTAGAGCACTGAATTGGTCTGAACGGTACTTCACGTAAGTGACCCTCTTCTATACGACGAAGCTAACTGCTTGATTACCAGTGACTTCTTCTACGTCCCGCAAAGTTTCATTGCACATTCTCGCACCGCACTACAGCAATGTCTGCACACACAAGCCATCTTGTGTTTCAGGACTGAATTCGTTTCAGTAAGCAGATCTTTTGCAAGTGTGCACCTGTATTGACAATAATAAAACAAGCCTCTTGACTCACCAGCAATCTTTGTCATTGCCAGACAACCCATTTTAATCCCAACATCCCGGGAAGTTGCACTCACTTATGTTAGCCACCATCTGCCGTGGTCGATACCCCGAGCGTCGACCAGTCTTCCCCCATCGCTGAGATAACAGAAATACAAAGACGCCAGCGGTCGCCGGTCAATCTTTCAAGCCCTGACAGACGATACGAGGCCAGGTACAAAATGCTGTCAACTTGCTTGTCGGAAAACGCATCATTACATGTTTGGATGACAGCTAGCTCCGATTACAGTGGGACCTAGAGAGCGGCGTGTAAATGAGGGCAGGGAAATGGGCAGGGGCGTCTAAGTGCAACTTGAACAGTGTCTCCTCCAAGCTCAAGATCATGTGGTATGATCAGGATGGTGGGTGGCTTTGACTTGGGGATGGACGAGGCGTACTGCCAAGGATTGGTATCACGGCGGCCGCATCTAGTGATGTCCACCACCAATCAAGATGACCCTTATTGTATGACTACACAAGCATCGGTGATTAAATTTCAAATCTTAGTACTTCGAGAAATAACGGTACCTTGCATGATACAAACAGTACTTTGATGATGTGTACATAGCACGTGTACTAGATGCCGCGGCTTTACCCCTCCAGACCGTGAGAATCCACCGTGCTGAAGTCCGTTAACCCGCATCTATCAATACTTCAACAATTATAATAGTCTACCATTCACTAATGACTTCCTCGAGTCCTCTTATCGAATACCCCACATTTCAGATCCCGTCCTCCTGCATTAGAAATGCCTGAAATATTCACTGAACCGCTTGACTCAGTAATCCCTGACGACGTGACGCTAACCCAGTTCTTCCTTGACTCCCACCACCCACGTAGGCCGGTCCGAACCGATGCACCATGGTTAATTGAGGACGAGACTGGGAGGCGCATTGGATATGAGGAGGTGCGTGGAAATCGTTAATTATATTACAGTAGCGATTCTTACTAGGCGCCTGCCCATCTGGCAACTTGAAGATCCGTGCACGAACCTTTGGATTTGCAAACGGGCTTGCGTTGCGCTATAGTATTAGTACGCGCTGTTTAACGTTCCTCAGTAGTAACTGTGTGTCCTAACAGCATACATGCAGAAGAAGAAGACGTCGGTAGGTGTTGGCAATCCAGCCCGACTACATCTTTTTTATGATTGGTCTACAGTCCTTATCTTTAGTCCTAATCATGTTGGTAAGGTTTTCTCTCCACTCCCCCATCGGCTTCAGTTAACCGTCGCCCGTAGATTATCCACCTGCAATATGGGCCACGCACCGACTGGGTGGAATTGTTTCGTGAGCCCAGCAAATGATGACATTCTTACCCTCTCAGGCTGATCCGACCGAAACATTAAAGCGGCGCGAATCCGACATATACAGCGGAAGAACTCTCACATCAGATCCAGGCTGTGAAA